TAAATCTTTCCCTAGAACTACGTTATCCGACTGACAGACCGAATTCGACCTTTTCATCATCAGGTAAAAATTAGAAATATATAAATGAGATAAAAAGAATAGAGCCTATTTTAATGCCTTAACTTTAGTTTCTTAATGTTTGTTACCTAATTCTATATTACCCTGACATTTAATATCAATAAATTTGAACAAAGTATGATTTTTATTTTTCACTGATAACTAGGCTGAAGAAAATGCACTCAAAATACTATGTAACCCGTTGCTGGCACTGATCTAGGGGCGTAGCCAGGGGGATGGAGTGTCGAACTACCACTTCAGTATTCTAAAACATGGGTTCTCAAAATTTTTTGGTGGCCCTCTTTAAAAATATTTGAGGCAGTGACGACCCCCCCCCCCCCACATACACACAAACTCCGTTATGCCAAATTTTTTTTGTGATCTCGCGACCCCTTTTGAGTGTGTACCCCAGTTTGAGAAACCTTGTTCTAAAAGTCCACTATCTTTTGACTGGGTTTTTTTTTCTTTTGGCCCGGCATGGCCAGGTGGTTAGGGCACTCGACTCGCAATCTGAGAGTCGCGGATTTGAATCCACGTCTCACCAAGCATGCTCGCCCTTTCAGCCGTGGGGGGGGGGGGGGGGGTGTTATAACGTTACGGTCAATCCCACTATTCGTTGGTAAAAGAGTAGCCCAAGAGTTGGCGGTGGGTGGTGATGTCTAGCTGCATTCCCTCTAGTCTTATACTACTAAATTACGGACGGCTAGCGCAGATAGCCCTGGTGTAGCTTTGCGCAAAATTCAAAACAAACAAGCAACACTTTTTTTTAGTAAGCACTTACCTTTTATGTAAACCCTCATACACTCTATAATGCTAGCTATGCTCCTACACTGACCTAAAACCTAACCTACGTACAGCAAGTGACCATTAGGTCTTTCAAGACTGCCATTTCACACCCATCCTTGCTAAAAATAAAATTTAAAATCCATCTTCTGCTTTTCAAGAAATCATCCATTCTCCTTCTAAACTCCTGTGAAGTACTGGCTTCCACTACAGCCGACGGTGACTAGTTCCATCAACCTGTATTATCGAAAATAAAATTGTTTTAACCGAAGTCTAACCTGTATTTTCCAAGTCTTAACACTTGTGTCCTTTCGTCTTATTATCTTCAAAATATAACACAAAGAAATCAGAGACCTTTATCCTATCGATACCTTCGATAATCTTGTAAATTTCAATAAGATCATCTCTAACACTTCATTCCTTACGAAACAATAATTTCAAAAATCGTAATCTATCCCTATAAGATAACTTTCCATCTCTGGAATCGTTTTAGTAGTCCTCCTCTGAACCTTTGTCAGTACTGTACTATCGTTTGTTAAACCAAAACTGTACACAGTATTCCAAGTAAGGCCTAACTATTGATTTACATAGAGAGATACATTTTTTTGACTTGTAATAATTACGTCTATAAATACACCTTAAAATTTTATTAACTTTGCTACTAGCAAGAGAACACTGCTTGGATGGCTAAGATTCAAAATTTATTAATCTTTTCGCATCGGGTAGGTTAAAGTGCACAGGTCACAAACTACGTCAATTTTCATTACTATACATCTCACACCTTAGTCTAAATTTCAATACCCGTTACATACAATAAGAAGAAGAACATAAATTGCGAAGCAGCAACCTTATCTCCTTCGTTTATCAGTTTGGTCAACCTTGCACAGTCTTGCTTTTAACGCACGTGTTTGCAGACGCAATAAAAAAGAAAAGCCTTACCCCTCCCCTTTCATTTTCACAAAGATATTCTTGTTCATCGTTATGGTTAGGAAGACATGTCGTTTTCGTAGGCTGTTGTAATAATCACCTACCCACATATATGATTAATTAGAGATTATAATGAATGGGTGTGTGTGGGGGTTGAGTAGGTGTTGGAACTTAACCATGTACACTTATTTACTCATAAAAAAATAGCAAGGCTACCTGAGTATAATTCACAAGTCTTCATTGTGGGGGAGAGAACATTACGACAAGTAAAGTATTTTACTAATTAACGAATTTCAATTTATTTCTTGCGTATATTTGCTAGAAATTATTTAGCAATAGATAAAGTCATTCTCGGATTTTCTTTCGTGGCCTTCGTAAGACAAGGCCTGGCATAGCCTGACGGTTAGTGCGCTCGACTTGCAATCTGAAGGTCGCGGGTTCGAATCCACGTCACCGAACATGCTCGTCCTTTCAGACTTGGAGTCATTATAATGTGTCGCTCAATCCCACTATTCGTTGATAAAAAGAGTAGCCCAAGAATTGGTAGTACTAGCTGCCTACCCTCTAGTCTATCGTAGGTAGCCCTCGTGTAGCTTTGCGCGAAATTCAGAACCAAACCAAATCGTAAGACAAAAAAAAACAATATCAACGTACTTTTCTCCGTATCCAAAATAATAATAAGAAATACATCACCGTACTGGAATATCAGGTGGATTTTGGATGATAAAAATGTTCTTTTAATTAAAATTATTTCAAAAACGACAGGTGTTTCGCATTGTGTTGGTTGTGTGTAATGATACATGTACGTAAAGAGGGTGGTCGCTATAGCAAACGTCACGTGACAAATGTATTGTTCCTTTACTTTACCTATCATGCCAATTTCTGGCACAATTACAAATGTAACGAGTTGTAAATGTTTACCAAGTGATATTTCTTTTGGTATAACAGAGATATGATATGTAAATGTTTCCCAGTACGGTTAACCATCAAATCACCATGTACACGACTCCGTACCTACTCAGCTCCAGTATATTTTGTTACGTCTCCGTTTGTTAATTGATTTTCCGTAACTTCGTTCCGATGAAACTTAAGCGACACAAGTTCTTTCTTAATAAAACTGGTTTATTCTTTCCGAATATAACTTTACCGTAC